CCATGAATTTCAAAAGCTTTTGATGTATTATCTCTACAAAATCTCTTGAGAAGTGTAATGCTTCTAGCATTTTTTTTTCAGATATGGAGAAAGGCTCAGAGCAGCTAAATTACTGGCCAGTGGTCATTCAGCAAGTCCTTAGCAGAGCAGAAGTAAAGGGCTGCTTTCTCTCAGGTCCAAAGGCACAGCATTCCTCAGCCACTGCCTTTCTCAGGAATCAGTAGCTGCATTCCTGGTGACCTCAGAGAGAACATGACTGAACAATAATAATAAACAGCAGAGACAGGATTCTACTGGGTAAGTTGATCTAGCTGCATATAGGTCCTAAAAGATGATGGTTTTGCCACTACCATCCTGATCCTGGCTGTGTAGTTTCTGCTTATTGTGCAATGGGTCTGGTTTTTGTGGGGTCCTTTCTTGAGTTGTCTGAGCTCATTAATATGGCAGAAAACATACCCAGACAAAAAAAGCAGATTGTTTTCTGCCAAGAAGCTGAATTGACTCACTTACTGTAATGAGTGCCAGAGCTGGTGCAAAAGCAGAGCTTTCCACAAGCTAGGAGCATGGGAAAGGTTAAGAATAAGTAAGAGATGATGTGGAGGAGACAAGGGACAGTATGAAATATTCAGCAACTGCAACCTCTTAGATTGCCTCAGCTGCTCACAGACCTTTGGCCTTCATATCATCAAATCAAATGTTAGCTATCTGTTGGGAAATTCTGGAGATATTAATAGCTACATTATTGTCATGGAGACTGAATTGTACTGTCTGGTTTTGAGAATAACTTTAATACATTTCTATTTTCAATTTTACATCCCAAAACTAGTGTATCTCTTATAAAACTGATGGGAAAGCTCAGCTATACAGAGGTCTTCTGGAGATGCTTTATGCTCTGGTTATATCATAAGGCAAAATGATGTTCGTTACCAGCAGCTGGAGTTCTTGGGAACTTGGGAACTGGTAGATAATGTACGAAGAGCATCTAAGGAGCCATGTGTGCTCAGCCATAAGAAGAGAAGGTTTAGGGGACATCTTACTGCTGCCTGTAGCTACCTAGTGGGAGGGTGATAAGACAGGAGTGAAGGGACACCAGTTGGAAGACATGTAATTCTGTTTAGATGTAAAAGATGGCTAGAAAGAAGCAACTTTTTTATTTTTTTTCACCTTTCCCCCCCCACAGTCAGAGTTGTCAAACAGTGGAGCAGATTCACAGAGAGGCTGTAAAGTTTCCATCCTTCAGGATATGCAGCTGGGCAAGGCCTGACCATACTGCTGTAGCTGGGCCTGCTTTGAACGGGAGGTAGCACCTGTTCTTCCTTCCAGCACAAACAATTCTGTGGTTCTGTGACTTTTTTTGAGGATAAGGAAGTGTAACAAGCACTCAGTACTGAGAACCTGTAGCCATGCTCTAGCTCTACTCCCTTTTATTCCATGACAAGACTGTAGGTAGACATCAGAGATACGCTTTCATTTCCTCTCCATTTCATTTCCTCCCAGCTAACAGCTGAGGAATGGGTAGAAATTGCTACTAGGCTGGTAGTTAAGCAGATCTGTAAACTACACAGATGGTTTAAAATAAAGGAGTGAAGACCCAGGAGCAAAGCTTGATATGGTAATTGGATAACCCAGAGTTAAGATTTGCTGCCAGAGTAAAACTTTTCTCCTGTTTTTATGGCTCTAATCTTTTTATATATATATTTGAGTTTTCTAACTATTTCCCTAAATGAAAGAAGAGGGTGGATGTTTAAACAAAAACTCTGTAATACCAGTAAGGACTTGATATTTACAGTTCACTACTTCTGCAGAAGATCACCGAGTAGTTAAGAAGAGTCCAGCGGAGCCTGATTTATAGCTATAGACATTCTGGAGAGATTGGTGGTTGGATGTTGTCCTGTAAACGCTGTTCAGTGTTACTGACTCCTCCAGCAGTACCATAACATTTGGGAATACCTTTCACAAGAGATTAAGAAAATACCCTGAATTTATGTTGTGAATCTAGGGGTTCTGTATGTAGGGTGAGAAATCCTTTCTGGCTTGGAGATAAACGGGCCATTTTCAGGAAAAAAAAGCAGTGTTCAGAAGCACAGAAAAATACTGGGCTTCACAGAATCCAGGACTGATCAGCACCACTATCAGGACAGAAGGGGCTGAACATCTTGTGTGAGAAGCATCCCTGCTCTGATGGTGTTTGGGTTCTAGGAAGAAGAGAACCCCGGACAGTCCTAGCCTTGATTCTAAAGGAGAATGAGTCTTGCAGAAAATCTAAAAGGTTTATCTTAGTAACTTTTTTTTTGTTTTTCATTCTTTCAGCAGCACTAGCTGATGTAGAAGGATCTGTAAACAGTTCTGTGGGCTGAATCAATCCAAGCACTTGAACCTTCTTTTCTTCTTTTACTTCCCCTTCAAGGCCTTGGTGTTATTGGCAAAGGGCTTTGAAGCCTAGCCTGGAACCTCCTGAAGTGACAATGGGATGTTAAGAAACAAAAGTTCCTTGGACATCTTCAGTCAACACTCAAGAGTTGGGAGAAGTTGTGGAAGGAGATGTCAGATGAGGAGGTCTCAGTTCAATCAATGCTTCCAGGGACCAGGGTACAAAAGAACTGATCCAGAGTTTTGGATCCTTTCTAATGCCAAAGTCTGACACTGATGTGATGGCATGCACAGCAGGAGATGTTCCTGAAACTTGTGCTCTTTATTTTGGAGTTCTAGGTTCAAAGGAGTAGAGACAGATACATATAATGCACAAGTTTCTTCCTGAGTCAGAAAACTCATTTGCTGTGTAAGCTGGGGACACCAATCTTTTTGAACGTGTTGTGTTTGAATTGGGGATTGAATTGGATTTGGATTTGAAATTAATTTGGAAGATACTGCATATATTTCTTTCTGGGATTGTCAAAGCAGAACCTCAAAGCTATGCTTGAGGGGGAGAAAAACAGCTTAGTTCTACAAAGAGAAGAAACTCAGATGGAATTGGCTAAAATAATCTACAAGAAAAAGGCAGGGAGGAAGCTAGCAAAGCTATCAGTGAAGCTATCAATGAAGGTTGTGAGGTAAAGAAAGCTGTAGAGCATCCAGAGGAGAGTGTAAGAAAGTTGAAACCTACCTAGTATATATCATTAGGGAAAAAAGCCCAGTCAGCCATAAAGAAAGGGGATATGTGGACTGGTCTTCAAAGACTGAATTTGACATTTTGATAATTTATTGTGTGCTTTTGGAGCATCTGTTGAGACTACATATCTTAAACATCACTTAGGACAGCTAGTCTAAAGAATGCACTTTCCTGGTGCAATGCTGAAGGAGCACAACACACAAAAAGAAGAAAATCGCTTGTCTGAAACAGTGACTGGTTCAACTATTCTTGCTCCTCTCCTACAAGGTGTGGTTGAACTGTTCACCACACAGTCCTGACCCAGCACAGGAACCAGCCTGCTACAGTCCAGGAAACCCAGGGTAACGCTAGTTAGTGTTAGTACCCACTCTGTCAGAGCCAGCGGGATTGCAGCCAAGCCTGAAGGGCGGGGTGGTGGGCCAGAGGCAAACATAAGGGATGTCTTTCCCTGGAGTGACCATAATGTCACACTTATGCATGTAGCGTTGCAGGCAACCAGAGCAGTCAGATTTGCGTACTGGATCCATAAGCACAGATGTTTGTGCAACAGGAGATGCTTGTTACGGGATTATGTATGCAACGTGAAGATGGCTTCACCTATGCTATCAGTTATGACTGTTTCAATAGGTTATTATGCAGTTATGTACATGGTCAAATTATGTGAATCTTACACAATGGCTGAATGGTTTTTCCAACAGCAAGGTTCCTGGTTTTTTTTTTTTTGTGTGTTTTTTTTTGTTTGTTTGTTTGTTTGTTTTTGTTTGGTGTTTTTTTTTGTTTTTGTTTTTTAAATATACCTCAAAATATAGTTTTCTGATCATGTTTCCTAAGGTAAGTTCCTGATAACTGCAGCACACAGTAGTCATGTTATTCCCTCATATTCCAGGGGCTTTGACATTTCAGTCTACCTAGCACTGGTTCGTTAACAGAATGTACTTACATATTCATATTGCAATTACTTGTTTTTAACTTATGTCTAATTCCAATAATGCTCACCATTACCAGAACAGCCTACTCATAGGCATTTGGTTCTCTCCAGGTTACAACACTCCTCTGCAGGAACAGAAGATCTTTATGGGCAGAGTTGAGAGCTAGGGTGGAAACTGCTCCAGCTGCCTTGTTTGTGAGTCATCTTTGTGAGCACGTTAACTTCCAGAAGCTGAATTCTTCTTGCATAGAAGATTCTTCTACGAAATTTAATAACATTCTAATGATTACAAAAGAGTGATTTGTCTGTATATACTCCTTATTGAGGCTATTAGGACAAAAGATAATAGGGGCATAGATAAAATAAGGCTAAACGTTCAGACAATGAACATCAGTGTAGCAGTGGTAAAATTAATCTACTTATTGCAGAAGTTCTAATGACCTTATAAGGTTCCTATTATTCTAAGATAAATTAATAGCTGACTGTTTATTTTGTATGAGATTATATTTTTGGTATAATGATACAAAGAATTTTAATTGCTAACTTTAGCCTCTTTTATGCATTCATTTCTACCATATTGTTTGAGACAGGGAGTCAGCCGGAGGCGACACACCGCTCAGTTTCATTTCATATACTATTGATACAGTTTATTCTTTATAGTCTATGCAGAAATAGTTATGTGGCTAATGACCAAGACACCGCACAGTGAGTGTGAACCACAGCCGAATGTTTTAAAAATACTTTAGGAAAATTCTTGCTCCCCCTGCAGTCAAAGGAAGCTTTTGCAGTGAATTTAAGAAGGAAAGGAGACACGCATTTCTCCTTCGGGGTCCTTAAAATGTGCTTGATGTTTGTGCATGTGTGTTTGTTTGCTTTGCTTTGCTTTGCTTTGTCACTGCTTACTTAGAAAGAAACTAGATTAAAATTTTAACATCAAAATGCATTTCTTTTGGATATCTTTGCTTACTATCTTTGCTTGCTGTACTTTTGTAAACAAGATAAACAGTGAATAAACAGAAAAACCTACTTCCATTTTGTACAAAGTTCTCAGATGATTAATGGTGGAGCATGTGAGTCTGAGGACAAAAGAGGACAGAGTGTTAGAAATCTCAGAAGCATTTGAAATATAGGGAAGTACAGTTCTAATTCATTCACAACAGTATTTTAAAGCATGACATGAACTTTTGAAAATAAATTTTAACATTAAATAATTATAATTATTACATATGTACATAATATATATGATTTAGTGTCTTATTATATATGTAATATAAATGTGTAAAGTTTTATATAATAATATTTCCAGATATTATATTAAAAAAATACCACAGTATACATCAAATAGCATAACATAGTAAGCAGCTTTCTAAGAGTTTAACACCATTCATTTTCATAGAATAACTTCAACTGGGAGGGAACTCAGAAGGTTACCTCATTACCCTCTTTTAACATCCAAATAAAAGGATTTTTTTTTTCCATACCTTCTCCTGGAAGGACTGATTCTTACTTTCTTTTTGCCTCTTCCTCTTTAAAATTTTGTAATAATTAGAAGGCTGATATAAAACAAAGAGCTCTTCTGTGGGTGAAATGCTATGTTTTCCTTATACATGTCAGCAGAAGGTTTTACTTTTTATCATTTTGACAGCTGAGACAGCATATGTGAAACAGGTGATCTCGAGTAACAAAGCATATTTCTCATGACAGCTTGCTGGGCAGGAGAGGAAGGATTTAAGAATTACATAACAGAATTAAGCACTGAACCTTTCAGATGCTTTAAAGTCAGTTCAGAGCTATATATTTTGGCAAATAAATGAGATTTTTTTCCATCAAAATGGATTAACTCAGAGAAGTTATTTTTAGTTTGAAGTATTAGCTTTTCTCCAGGTCAGTCCCATAAAATTTGAAGATCAGATTTACATTGTTATTCAGAAAACATCTGAAAGAAACACCCTGTGCACTTTTGGCTATGCAAAGACCCCTCATCATGTAAACTTGAAACACCCAGCCTCCCAAAGAAATCTGGTATGCAGCAGTCAATCATTGCAGAAAAGGCTGTTGTGGAAGAAGTATGAGAAGCTGTTTTCCCTGTATGTGTGGTGTCCTGCAGGTACAGTGGCTGATGTGTGGATACTGTATTTGTTAGACAGTCGCTCTGCCTTTCTTTTGTTGACTCGAGTTTGGAGACTGTCTTGTTTGTAACAAATTTCACTGATCATGAGAACGTTCATTCTACGAGTTTATGAGCAATGCTCAGTTCATTTACCTCAGGAGGCAATGAGGAACTGGAATGTGCTCTGCCAGAGAAACAGTGCAAGGGTGGAGTGTCCAATTCTTAGCAAATCTTATAATATATGTCTTATCTCACTAATGCAAATGTCAAGAGGCTCAAACTGTTCCTCTCACCTTTGTGCCTTTAAACATAAGCCATGCCACCTGCAGCAGGGAAGTCCAATATTCTTCTGTGGCTGTGGGCCTGAGGAGTGGAGAAGTGAAAAAAAAAAAAAAGTCAAAGGATGATTTCTTCTAGTCTGCAGGTGAAAGAGCTTCTCAATTCCTAAATGGTTTCATAACAATTTTTTTTAGATGACAGGACAAAATCCCCTCTCCCTCTCCCTCTCCCTCTCCCATGTTATTTCATGAGGACAGTAGCCTACCAGTACAGATTGTGTCAATCTGTAGCTGCCAGAGTTGTGAATCAGGAGTGGTGGTAATTTTTCCTCTTTTGTGGGCTGTTCTAAGAGCTGCATCTTGGATGGGAAGTGCCCTTCAGTTGCCATGCAGAGCTGGTCAGACCTGCTTGGTTTATCCCGAGGCAGGAGAGCAAGCAACAGGTTATCTCTTCTCTGTCCTCTCCTTAGCCACAGCTGAAAGGCAGGAAGGCAGTGACCAAGCAGCTTCTGCTCTTCAGGAGACCTGGTGCTTCATTCTGGAGATACAGCTGGGTCTGTGGAGAAATTGTAGCATGTAACAGGAGATACGAAGATATGGTCCACTCCTAGTCTTTTCTTTAGACTGATGTTGCTGATTCAGACAGTTAAACAAAAACGACCAGTCCTGCAGGGTAGCTGTTAGAACCCAGATCTTCTGTTTACACAGTTGACCTTAGCAGCATCTCTAGAGCTCCTCAATGCTATGAGAGGTCATTGTCTATAATATGACCACTTTTCTCTGCAGTCCAGAGTCTGTGAGCAATAAGCAACCAACCTGCTTTAAGGGCAGCAAGCAGCCTTAATCCTGAGTTTTGCTAGGTATCAGTTCAAAGTACTGTGTTCTCATACAAGGCTAGATACAAATTTTTGTGACCATTGATTCCGTTATGTATCACACATGGGTGAGTCAGGGATGTTGTGAAATATTTCCTCCTTTCTTGTAACAGTAAATCCATAGCAGAATGTGAACTATGCTCTGACGCTAAGTGCTCTTTATCTTATGGCATCTGTGTGTGTATAGTTATTTTACAAACTTCTATTATTTCATTTTGCCTTGGCTGATTTGGCATGAATGGCTCCTCAGTTTGATGACGATACAGATGTCTGTAGGGTCACTGTAATTTTTAAGTAACAATTGCTATGTTTTAAGTAATGATGTTTGAGTAGCTTGGTGTGATAGAAGACCAAAAAAAATTGAAATGGTGCAAATACTAAACAGCTCTAATTTCTGATGATTTATCTAGTTCTTTCCTAATAAGTATTTTTACCAAGTCATGAAAGATGCAAACTACCTAACACAAACAATTTAAAGGAAAAAAAAATAAAAGGAAATAACCAACTTTGCTTGACTGCACAGGCCTTTGTTTTTCAACATTTCTAGAATGCCTAGAAGGATACAAACACTCCTTAATACTGACTTAGGAGTTAAACTTTTCAGTTTGGTAAGTGTTATTGCTACTCTTCCTGGTTTCATAATTGCTTTTTAAAACAAACAAAGAAACAAATAAAAACCTGTGTCATCCACATTGTCCTGAACCTCCTACCTCTTGTTAATTTTCAGACATCTCTCTGCTCTTTTGGGATTCTTGATGCCAGTGTTTAAACTTGTTCCAGTAATAACTTTTACTAGGGAAATATTATTACTTGACCTGTGGCTGCCTTCTTTGGTTAGCTTTCTCTTATTTTGCAATTTTTTTTAACAGTTACTGAAATCACTTGAATTTATTTCCCTTTTGTGTAACCCAATCTAAAAGATTGTCTTGTTTTCCTGACAGTGTTATGTAAACTAGTACTTGCTATAAAGTGCTTTTGCAAGTTGAGAAAATGAGTCATGTAATATTTACAGATGTCATTTCAGAAACATAGAGGATGTCAGCAGTGTTGGCAATATAGCCCAAAGTATCAACTATCAAAAGTTGCTTTGAGCACAAAAATATTTCTTTATCTTTAGTCTAATTTTTTCTCCTTTGTGGTTATTTTGTTACCTCTGTGTCTAGTTTCATATTCAGCTTTTATCTATTGTGTCATTGTGATTACAGTCACACATATTTGTGTATTGTAGCAATGTGTTTTCACACATCACTGTTATTTTATGTCGCAGTAGCAACAAGTATTTGCAGAGAAATATTTGTTGTCTTTTGTACTAAATACTGTATTTTCTACCTCCTTCCTATTTAGAATCACAGACCAACTGAGGCAGGAAGGCACCTGTGAAGATCATCTGGTCCAAACACAGGCTCAGAGCAGTCAGTGAGGGCAGGTTGCTCAGAGCTGTGTCCAGTTGGGTTTTGAATGTCATCAAGGATGGAGACTCCACAGCCTCTCTGAGGAGTGGAGTTGGACCACCTGCACAGTAAAAAAGTGTCTTATATTTACATGAAATTTCTTGTATTTCAGTTTGTATCCATTACCTCTCATCCTGTCACTGGAAAGAGCCTGGCTCTGTTGTCTTTACTCCCCCCAACAGGTATTTATGCACATGGATAAATTCCCCTGAGCCTTCTCTTCTCCAGGCTGAGCAGTCGCAGCTCTCTCTGCCTTTCCTTATATGTCAGGTACTCCAGTCCCCTTATCACCTCTATGGCCCCACACTGGAGTCACTTGCTCCGTGGCTCATAGTGGGGAGCCCAGCACTGAACCCAACACTTTAGATCTGTCTCACCAGGGGTGAGCAGAGGGGAAGGATCAGCTCTCCCAATCTGCTGGCAATGCTCTGCCTAATGCAGCAAAAGGTGATACTGACCTTCTTTCTATAAGGACACATTAGTGGCTCAGAATTTACATTTTTCAATTTAAAATGTTCTACCTTATTCCTAAACCTTTGTATTGTTTTTGTCCCAATTTTCCTGAATATGTCTATGTATCTTCAGTAAATCCTCCAAGGACCACATCAAACATACTCTTTTCCTTAACTAGGTTCCACCTTAAAGAAAATATGTTTTTTAAAGAAACAACACTGGATCAATTTTTCTCAAATTGCTTTCTTCTTATTTATGTAACTAAATAACCTTTTGCTGTCAGTTTTCCTTGCAAAAGCTCAGTTTCAGCCTCCATCTGAAAAAGCTTCCTTGTCTCTCTATGCCTGTATAATTGCTTGATTTAATGTTTTTCTGCCCCTTACCAGCAACCATCTTTTTCAAAAAATCAATTCAGCAATCCTTAGCTTTCAATCTGCTTTTCAGAAACTTATCCCTGGTCCCATTTGTCCCTCCCACCCCCTCTGCCAGGTCTCATGCCCCTGGATATTGCTTCAGCAGCAAACTGTGGTGAGCATCTTTTGTTTGTTAGCAGACAGAACCAACGATTTGTCCGCAGTTGTTCCAGCCTGTCAGATTTGCTGCTTTTCTTTTTATTGTTTGTTCATAGCATGGCTGTCCAGAAATACCTAACTCAAACAAAACCACAGGCAGTGGTTTGCTGGCACCTGGTTTGTATGGACCAAAGTGCAGAAACGTTTTCTATTATTATCTTGTTAAAAGTACTCAGTGGATCAACTGCTTTTTCTGTTGCTGCTTCCAGATTTCTCCAATCATCTCCATTTTAAACCTCCTGAAAACAGTACCTGAATTCAAACACAATTTTCAATTGAATGTTACTGGCAGAGAATTTGGGAAAGCTGAAAAAGTTGGTTGCTGGAAAGATGAAGGAATAAGAAGCAAGGGATGTGGAAATCAGAGTCAAAGTAAGAACCAGTACTTGAGAAAATGATACACGAAATTCAGCCAATTATCACTGGATGGCTCTACCTAGAAATTACAGACATGTGCCAGTGCAACCTGATGTAACCAGACCTCTGGAATACCTCTTGGGTTTCTGCAATTTTTGTGGTATTTTGATACACTATAAAATAAAAAAAAATATCCCTTCTTAGCAGCTTGACTGCCTTTGATTATATTATGTTACACTGAGGTATAGTAAAAAACTAAAAAGAAGAAAAACCCCATCTATTGCTCAATCCTGTTTTCCAGTTAAAAGCTCTTTGCCTGATCCTAAAGCCTCACCACTAGTGGCTAGTTGCCACTGAACCAAGAAATACATTAGCAGCGTGACGCATGATTTATTTTTGACAAAGACTCATTGCAAGCATTGGAATTATTGTATGTATCATATGGCAGGATTTTGTACAGGTAGGCAGTGTTCCAGCCAATCTGTATTGCTTTTGAAAATATAATTTTAAACTTGTATAATACAATTAACTAGTTCCTCCTTTGGAATTACACAGAAAATCCTGGTTTATCCCAGAGAGTCTGTCTAGCCATAGTGGGAAGGCCAGGAATAAAACTGCCAATATTGTACTGAGCTAGTCCTGCAGAGATGAATATTCTTCCTCGTCCTCAAGATGCAGACAGGTGAAACAAGCATCTCCTCTTATCAGCTGGGATTTGCTGAGGCTTAGAGCTTATTAAATCTGGAGACTTGCTGAGAAGGGATTCCAGAGCTCACCCAAAGGCAAAAAAGCAGAAAAAGGCTCTTGGGGGAAGAAAGCCAAGGGGAGGAGAGAAAGGTACACCCTGCTCTGGCAACACTGATAAAACAACTCAGGCTCTGCTGCTCCCTTCCTAGGTAGAAGCTGTGGGCTGCTGGAGTCTCTGCTCTAGACCCTGCATCTTTAAAAATACTCCTTCAATAAAAGGTAGAACTACATGCCAAGTAGCAAAAATACTTCCTCCCAGACCTGCTAGTTAGTCTTATCACTAATCCAATGATGGGCCTTTCTACCTGGTACATAGGATGCAATTAGCTGCTACTTAATTAAGTGAGAATATGTGAATAATCATTTCAGACTTGTGAAGCAAAGGATGCAGTATAACATCCCTGTGGGATTCCTGCAGTAGGAGGTGATCTGAGATAGGAGCTCAAGCACTTTTTTATTCTGCGGGAGATGCTTTGAAACACAGGGATCTGGGGTGGCCGCTTTATTTGTTTGCCACCTGGAATACTGATTTTGATCACTCTATTTGCTACACACACTCAGGCTTACAAATAATAAGAATTTTTTTCACAATGCTTGCTGAAATTATTTATATGAATTTCAAGCATTTAAAGAAGTTTTCAATATATGAAAAGCATTACCTAAAACTAAAACTGTGAGAAACCACTAATGTTTCAGATTATATATCCATATTTTAAATGTTTAGATACTTACAAAGGAATGATGCATCTTGGGGAAAAATCTAGAGAAAAAGTCACTGCTGAATTTTCTCTTGAAAATGGACTTTTAAAGAAATAGACAAGGCCTACCACAACATAAATTCTATGAAAGGAGCAGAACTGATATCTTTGTATCCTTGAAAACTTAAAAAATTACCCCAGAAGACTCTCTAAAAAGATCTGGAAGGTGCAAACATAACCAGGGTTACAGCTGCTGTTAAGTCCTTTAGCCGAGCTGGCTGGTGAGATGGGGAAGAATATGCTGCTTCGTTGCTTAAAGAGTAGTTGTGGTTTGCACTCTACCCAGCATACTGCAGTTTCAAGCTCCTCTCTGCTGCTGACTGAAATGCATCATACCCTGAGGCATTTCAGTCAGCAGCAGAGAGCAAGCTGTACACAGTATTTATGGTGTACCTCAGTATTTCAGTAAATATATATATATATATATATCTCTACATTGTGGACCACCTTTTATCCTCATTATTATTTGAGGCTAGAGGGGTGTTAAAAAGTATGTGGCATTTAGGTTTTTTTATTTGTTTGTTTAAAACAACCCATTTCTAAGTTATCAATACAAGTAAAAAAAAAAAAAGGAAAAAAAAAAGTTTTTGGATTTTGGCTAGACATTGACAATGAAAAGAGGGCATCCTGCCCAGCACACTACCTTCTGATGCTTTACAGGCCACTTGTGATTCATGCACCGCAGACTAAATAACAGTGCTTATATGCTTATGTGCCCATATGTGGTTATGCACAGAAACCACAATATATTCTGTGCAATCAATGGGATCACTTGTACAGTAAGATACTTTATTCAGAATATATTGGTGCAGCATTATTTATGACCTTCATTAAAAAAATATGGGTTGAACAGTGACCACTAAAGGTAAATAAAGGATTATGAATGAAGAGAGGTTGAGACTTAAGAGAAAGATTTCTGAACTGTGACAAGACCAGTCTTTTAGTTCATGTAAATTAGTGTGAAAGGAGAAAGAACATGAACTGAAAAGAGTTCATTAACTGGCTATTAAATACAAGAAAAGACTAATGCTGGAAATGTAATGTAGAACAGCTTGAATATGCTATGTCCAATACTGCTGTCTTTTCTCATAGAAAACTCCCTTTGTCCTTGGAGATTTTATCAGAGGGTGCAATGATTTTGTGTATAATTTTCTCATATTTCTAAAAAAGTCTTGCTTTTTTTTTTCCTTGATTTTCACACAGATTGAACCTGTAGAGTTGACTGGATATAACTAAAATATTTATGTGAGCCACAAAAGAGAAATTAAATTTAACACAAGAATAAATTGTATGTTTTATTGACTGGCAGGAGCATTTAAGGCAGCAAATATTCCCCATTACATTGTCACTTGAAGTACAAAAAGCATATTATAATGCAACAAGGAATCGGGAAATTCATGGCCCTTGCCTCTGTAGATAACTAAAAGTTTTAGTGGACATTTGTATGGTGAAATTACTATTTCATTTTGAAGTATCAGACTCTGGATGCAAAACTTGTTTGATTTAGCCATGTGGAAGGTGCTGTGCTCCCTTGCGCGGGTTCTTGTAGGTAAAGCTGTGGGCCCCAAGCCCAGCCAGACTTCTCGGTTCTGTGTGGGCAGTGGCTGGCCATGGGCAGCTGGAAACAGTAAATACAGCTGGGTACCAAAACTCCCCCACCTCTTCCAGAGCAGCAAGGCTCTCTGTGCATCCATGCCCTTTCTAATCCTCCTTGGAAGTACATGGCCAAGATGATAATGATGCCACAACCACCTTTCTTCCATGTAACAGGCATAGGGAATGAAGCAATTAATCCATGAGGTTCCCTTAAGCCTGAGATATCTCAAAACCAGATTTGCATGGCACTCATTTGGAAAATGGGAATCCTCACATTTTACCTGGAAAATTATATTCATCTATTTTCTGCTACCAACAATAAAGAGGAAAAAACTGTGTAGAATGGAGGCTTCTTCCCTGTTTAAAGACTGATGCTTTACACAAATAATTGATTACACCGGTGTAATTAATACATTGGAAACCGAGTTTCAGGCTCGCTCTAATCAAGTGTGGCATACTGGGAAGCTTGAAATATAACTGCTTTTGCTGCAGTAAGGAACATAAATCATTCATGTTTGTTCTTTATGATGAAGTACTCGATAAGGTGCTTATCTCCTTCCCATAACCTCTTCCCTTGCAAAGACCAAAAGGATTCAAAATATCTCCTTTGTCATATTGCACAAAGTAATTATAAACCAGGTGATAATTTTAAGGTGTTATCTTTAACCTTCTTAATTTCAAAATTTCTAGTTAATGGTGTAGACATACCAAATGGGAATAGAGCTAAAATTATTTGATAACCTGGTAGAGCTTACTGTGTACATACCTGCTTGAATATATGTGCAGGGAAAATAGATTTATTTTCTGGACTTATTTCTACTATTAATTTTAACGAAAAGCTATGGAATATTGGTCCTTTCGAAGGCTCCCAATTTATAATTTCTAGAATGCAAACATTTCACCTGCAAGTGACAGTCAGCTGCCTTTGCACTCTGACAAAACAGGCCCAGGCTAAGCAGAGATTTATTTATACTGAACCTCTGTGGTAGAGCCTGTAGCCATACAGAAGGAACGTCAGCCTTTTCTTGTGTTCATGGCAGTGTAGTATAATAATTTACAACATATTGAGACACTCTAGCTGAATGGCATCTGTGGACAAGGGTTACTGCTTGAAGAAATGAGAAATGGTCTAGTACTATCCTATAGATGAGTGCCTTGGCAGCATTCTTCTGTTCTGTTTACATCAGCCAATAGTGCATCACTTTTGGAGCAGATGTGAACAGCAAAACATCTGGTGCTGAAACCTTATCTCCATGGTATGTGTGGTCTGGGGAGGTTATATTGGACTAGCTCCGCTGTGGTCCCATGAAAGCCCGTGATGAAACATGCCCATGGCAAATTTCAAGTATGGTTCTGGTGTGTGTCCTCCTGTTGAGTTTCATCCAAAAGGAATCCACTTCAGATGCTTCAAGAGGCAAACCAAAGCACAGTGAGGGCATACAGCTGACAGATTTGTTTGGAAAATAAACTCCTGAACTAAAATAAAAAGCTAAGATAGATGTTCTTAGGGTCAAAATAAAAGCAGTTTCCTAGATGAAACTCCCTGGAAGTAGAAGAAACACGATAGAGAAGGAAACAGGGAGCTATGCAACTTACTTGAAATGTTTTACATTTTTGAAGGTGAGGTGTGTTTTGCCAATTATCAGGCCTAGCATAAAGGACACAGCCAGCATAAAGATGAACCAATAACCAAATTGTATTTGACACAAAAGGGTCAGTACATGGGTGAGCACTGGGGGTACAAACAAGTCAGATTATACGTAATCAGCATCAATCCCACTGACCCTAACAACACACAACCAACAATGTGTGGAATAAATGGTGAAATGCAGTCTCCCATAGATGGGAGACATCCAAGTCAACAAGCCAAACACATAAGACCAATGAAGTCACCTACTGAATTGCTACACAGCTGGCATTTACAAAGGCCAGACCTGACTGGAGCCCAGTTCGAGGGAGGCAGGAGGTCCTTCCCCAACAGGGAACTCTGCACAGCTCATCCACCTCACAGACACCACCCCTTCCTGCAAGTGGTCCCAGCTTTTATCCCTAAGTGGGACACCTGACCTTTGGTTACTTAATGCAGACACCTGGGGCTCATTTACCCAATGGCTCTGTCTGCAAGGCTGCCACACCCTGGAGGGAAGCCTAAAGGTAAACCCAACCCCCCTTTGTGAAGGGCTGTCAACTTTAATTGGGGGCTTGGGGTCGAAACCCCAGCATTTCAGGGTAACATTCTTGATGCATTGGACTTGCTGTAGAGAGGCACACTGACAAAAATAAGTTTTCCTGGCCTTGGACAAGCTCAGCTACGTTTGCAAATGAAGAGACTGAATGAATGACTCCCTAAGGTGCTGAGCTTTTCCCTCTCCTCTCACACTTATTCCACTGAGCATGGGAGGATGCAACACATGCAGGCATCTTTGCAAAAGGGGTCAGGTGCCATTATCTTGTATAGTCTCCCAACTCATTCAGCTCCAAATCTGGCCCTCAGAGTGCTACACTCAAAGCAGTTGATAAGTCACAATGTAGAATTTCATATAGGATAATGCTTCTTAGCTGAGGACAACCCTTCCAAGGTCATGAGTGAATGTGGAGAAGGTCATTAGAATAAATGAGTGTCCCCAAAGCCTAGACTGTCAGGATATTAAATGTGCAATTTATATAAGAAAAGACAGTTCAACATCTCCCTTCTATAGGCACCTATAGCTGCTGTGCAGAAATACAGACAGTGTTTGACTTCCTCTAGAGCACTAAAAATATTACATGTGCATGGCTGGGAAAAAAAGGCCACTTATTTTTTTCAAATGTAGGTGCCTGAAGGTAAGTCTGAAATCCTTATTTAGATATTTCTATGAAAGTAGATTGATTTTTCAGTGGTTCTGTATAGCTGCGCTTTTCTGGCTGTGGCAGCACTTTTTACTTTCAAAAATCTGCCCATTTATAGCTGTTCTTACATGGATTATATGATTTAAAATATATTTTGAAAACTCTCTGAGGACCTTTACCAAAATGCTTTTTTATAGTACCAAAGTAATATCCCAACAGTCTAACTAGAAATATTGAGCTTCTGGGTATGTATTTCTCTCTGGATCTGTAGAAGAGGCAAAACCTCCTAGTGATTTATCTCTTGCTCCCCTCAATACTATTTCAACCAGATATGGAAATATCGAAAAAAGTGTTGGACCAGTATATAAATTTGTCAAGGCCTGAGATTGGTCCACAGTGCCAGTGAAAGATCAAGGAAAAAAAATACAATAAAGTTAATATGTTAAGCATAAAAGAGTTGTCACTACAGTAGCTTTGTTTCCACAGGGAGCACTTCTATAGCAAAGATATCTGTTGAGATCTGCATTAAACTGCCAATTTTGTCCATTTTTTGTGCTTTTTACATGTCGTTGATACTAGCATGGCATATGATTTGGTAGAATATTATTTGATTAAACTGTTGTATGAACTAGCTAGGGATGTATAGGTAGGGCCAGGCTGACATATGTAATTTTTCCATGACTATGGCTAAGAAGTCTTTGGCTACTAGTCCTGATCATGTATCATATCACATCAAATATTTAGCAAAATTATGTTTATAGAAGCATTGTACCACAACATATTTTCTGGCTGGCAGAGTTGGAGGCTTCTGAGAAGAAAAAACTGAAAAATAGGTCCTCAATAAGGAAGTTAAAATACACTCAGAATGAAAATAAATTTATCTTATTATTGCAGTGTATGGATGCCTGATGATGCCTTTTAAAGCAAATTCTGTACATCCTACTGGGAGCATTTCAAACAGTCAAGTTACATCCTTCAAGCAGTACTTGTCCTCTGTTCTTTAAGGAATACTCCATCTCAAAGACATATTCACTGTCCATACACCTCAAGCTTGGAGGTTGAACTTCCACTTGCCCAAGGTATTTTCATATGCTGCCCCTGCTAAGACAAGCTGCCTGCCTGGGTATGGCAGGCACTAAGGTACTGAGTGCACCTGGAGTCTAACTTTCCTCCTGACAGCTTTTGCAGATACCAAGCAAAACCTGATAAACCAGCTGAGCTGTGCTGTTCGGTGGAAGCTGAGATGTATGAGGGTCTGTAGAGAGCAAAGCAGGCCTGCTATGAAATGCATTTCTACTCTGGCATATCACTCTTCCTACCTATTTTGCATAACAATCTTGACATGTCTAGATATCTCGCTGTCTCGATGAAAAAGAGAATGATAGTGGCTGAAAAGGGATACACTCTAAGTTGCCAACAAATGAGCAGTTTCTCTAAGATTGTTCTTTCTAGCTGTTCAGTTCACCAGGGTTTTTTTGTATAACAATTAATAAAGAGAAGTCCATCTGCCTGGACTGAGTGTGTTGCAATCCACTATTTTAACAGTACACGGTTTCACAACGAAGTTTCATTTAGACATAAAAGAGGAAGCAGCTTCAGTGTGCTGCAGTTCAGGCAAGTTATAAAACCCCTTCATCTCCTGAGGGACTTCCTTTCTATACTTCTGTGCTATAGAGGATTAGAAATAAAATACATGTGATCTTAGAATTGTATGTAAAAAGGAAATAAAAACAGGACTTTGCATTTTGGGGTAGGACAGACTCACAGGAAGCTTTAAACTGGTTAGAAGACAACAAATTTTCTGTACCTGGTCAGCTGCTGTATCTTTGGAGGTAAGAACTAAAATATACTATGCATTATATAAATGTATGAAAATGTTCTTGCTTATCAAAGTGTTGTGGTTCTGTTTGTGTGGGATCACAGCTGGTAGCTGGTAAAATGAAGATGCACTTTTTCTGTTTGGAATGCATGTGCATCTTTGCAGAGTCTCAGCTGCTTGCTGTCCACATGCAGTTTCTGCTGCCTTAAGAAGTGATGAAAACATTTCAAAAGGGTATTTTCACAACTGTGACTGACCATGATTGCAATGCAACTTCAAAATGCAAAAAAAAAAAAAAAAAAAAAAAAAATCTGATATTTCTAAAGTCTTTCATAAAATCATATAAAAAATGTTTTTCAGAATGCTTTTAAGGGAGCCTTAAGAGGTATGTTGCTTTAATCATAATTATGGTATTTTTATTCATCTTTCTGTGCATGTTAGTGTACTGACTAAATGATGTCTTTGAAGTAATCTATTTATATATGAGAAATAAAAATAGACACCATAATAAACATAGGCATTATATTAAAAAAAAAAAAAGTAGAAAAAAAGCTGAGACTTCTCTGAAAACAAGATGATGTTAAAAAGTATAAACAAAGAAGCTTTATCATTTTATTTTCCTGATTCACAGTGAATTTCCTGGTTCGCTGCAGATTCACAGTTTGACATGGGTATACACATACAACATGCAACTTCCTCCCTCTTTTTTATACTCTACAGCAGATGTGACTTATGTTTCAATGCTCGTTAGTGCACCACTTCCCTCACTCCTCCTGGGAAACCCCTTCAGCCTTTTCTATCTTTCTTGCTTTACCATTTATTCTTTTCACTTCTAGTGCACATTAATTTATTTCCCCTTTACTTCAACTGCTTAGACACAAAATATTACAGTCCGTGTAGTTCAGCCATGACAACAACTAACAACTCATTAAAATAAGCACAGAAATCCAGAAACATGAAGTGATTTCCACCCTAGATAGACTTAAAAGCAGAGTGTAGAAACAGAATGTAGTCAATTCATCCTTATGAATGTGGAACCCAACCCTTTCCTTTCTCACATTTCATGTTGTGTCTTCAGCTGTGGATAGGAGATGTAAAATGCTATTAAAGCAGATTGTCCTGAAAAAAAAAAACTTTGTATGGGTATAGGTGATTAAGAAAAGTGTGGAAAATGGTGAACCAGGCTTGCTCTGTACAAAGTTTCAAGGAACTTGAACTGCTAAAACAGACTTGTATGGGAAATTATTTGAGAACTCAAGAAGCTATATTTACCCACATACAGTTTTAATTGTATTTTTTATGGAAGCCTGTTCCCTCAAACTCCACTTAAAGATATAACAACACTTGGACATACAGTAAGAATGTAGGTTTTTTTTCTAAATGAAAGAAACCAGATTTTCCTGAAGCTCACTGCCATCCATTTATCATGAATAAAAATGGGTAGACACTTGTATGACAAGAACATTCAACAGCACAATAGACATATAAATAAAATGTGTTCTTGGGGAAGATGTCTCTCCTCACTTGCTTCCTTCAGCCTGTCCTTCAAGGAGATTCCCTCATACTCCTGAAATACAGGATTATTATCCTCTCAAACCTACTCTAATTGTTCCCTCTCAAGACAGCCCACATTCCCCTGTGGGAGAGGTACTCCTAGCTTTCCAGCATCTCTTGAACTGTTGACATGGACTAAGGAAGATGAGCTGGTCTCATGTTTTCTTCTGTGGGAAGACCAAAAGATCAGAGTGGAGAGAGTTGCAGGGAGGGGACAAGAGGGGTTTGCTCATGAGCACTGCTAAAATAGCCTCAGAGAGCAGTCCCACAGGTCCCAGATCTTCCAGAGCAGCAGCAGTAACAGGGAGAGGAGGTTGCACATGCAGCAGGTGACATTCAGATGCTTGTGCAAAAACACGTCTTACTATTCCTCTTCTCTTCTGCTGTGGGCAAAGTGGGCCAACTCATACCTCAAATAGCAGCCACCGTTATCATAGAATCACAGTCATAGAACAGCGCAGGTTAGAAGGGACCTCAAAAGATCATCTGGTTCAAACTTTCATGGGAAAGGGAGCCTAGGTGAAATTATCTAGCACCCCGTCCAGTCGCATCTTGAAAACCTCCAGTGATGGGGACTCCACCACGTCCCTGGGGAGGCTGTTCTAGTCATTGATTGTTTTCACTGTAAAAAATTTCTCCCTTATATTGAGATGAAACCTCTCCTGATGCAGCTTGTACCTATTGCCCCTTGTCTTCTCCATGTGGCTCCTTGTGAAGAGAAAGCCTATCTCCTCTTTGTAGCTGCCTTTTAAGTGGTGGAATACTGAGATGAGTTCCCTCCACAACCTTCTTTTTCCAGGTAGAAGAGTCCTAACTCCTTCAGTCTTTCCTCACAGGGCAGGTTCTCCAGCCCTTTGGTCATCTTCATGGCCCTCCACTGTACCCTCTCTTGTCTGTCCACATCTTTCTTGAATTGTGAGGACCAGAACTGGATGCTCCAGGTGTGGCCTGACAAGTGCTGAGTAGAATGGAATGATCACATCTCTGTTTCTGCTAGTAATGCCCCTGCAGGTGCAGCCCTGATGCACATTCAGTTTGTGGTCCACCAGGACACCCAGGTCCCTTTCACCAAAGCTGCTACCCAGCCACACAGATCCTAGCCTGTACTGGTTATGTCATCCCAGGTGCACTTGTCTTTGTTAAACTTCATACTGTTATTGCTAGCCCACTCTTCCTCACCCTTCTGACGCATCCACCTCACCACGCAGTTTAGTGTCATCAGCACGACCCAAGACAACCCTGAGCACTGGAGATAGGCCTTATCAAATGGGGTTCAGATACCAATGACCTGTGGGATTCAGGCATTCAGGAAAGGCTATACTCATCCATATGCACGGCTCATTATACTACTTTCTTCACTCTCCTGATTGCCCTACACTGGCTGCACTCAGGCTTTCTGGGAGCTGTTTCACACCAGCCCCTGTGGAAGGTGAGTTATATATCCTGCAACATAAGCAGGCTTGCTCTCCAGACTATCCTGCTTGCCAGGAGAACTCTTGCACACATGTCCTGCAATCTGAGGTGGATCCCAGGCCTCACGGAAGGGATCTGTCTGTAACTCCACAGCCTGCAAAAGTGTCTTAAAATGGGAAAAAATTACTACAGATGGATTCACAGGATTTGACTTCCCCTTGAAACAGGGAGACTGTCATCCAGGGTCCCATTTACTAAGTCAGCTAGAACTTAAGGTATATGCTGTGATAAAACTTGAACTCCAACAACCAGCAGCACAACTTTAATGCCTTTCAGAGCCTTGCTCAGAGATTTGAAAGCCAGACATAGTTAAAAAGCTTGTCTCTTCTCTGAGTTTCCACCTCCTCCTCCTCCTTTTGCAGTGCAAAAGAATGTCCCTCTCCCCACTGAGCTGTGATCCCAGCTGGCACCACATTCTTTTTGTTCTCCCTAGCAACTTTTCATCTTGCTCAGGTTTTTATATAGGACACAATTTATCATATCTTTTTGTGTACGCTTCTCAGGCTTTTCTTAAGCATTTTCCTTATCCTGAGCCAAGAACTCCCATTCCGTTTGCCTGCTCCCAGACTCTAACCTGAGGTCTTTATGCAAACATTGGCACTGTCTCCAAGCATTATAACCCAGCAAATTTGCTGCCACTCAGAAAATATTTGGAATACCACTGGATTCTCCACCTGGCTTTAAACATTCATCCTGCCTTTAGGCCTTTCTGCTGCTGCTGAACTGAACAAAAACCTCAGGCAAGATATATGAGTTTTTAAGATCATCTGACAGTAATAAAGTCTATGTCAGATAGAAAAGACAGTGTAAACCAGACAGTCTTCCTCCGTCTCCACTAGGCTTAGATAGAATGTAGTCAGCTCCCATTGCCAGGAGTAGCCACACAAAGAAAAATCTCTTTGTTCACCTCACATGTAAAATCCAACAGATCAGAATTGTAAAAAGGACTGTTTTTCCTTGTGCAAGGGAAGTCATGCAGTTATTTTGAGGAAGAGGGAAGTGAAATCTGAATTTAAGGAGCATGAAACCCAAAATATTGAAAGACATTAGATACAATCCCTGTGCACTTGAAATCCCGGTGCATATGTGTGTCTGTGGCATGGAAGGGTGGTTAAGAGAATGGTCATGAGAAAGTAGAATTAATGAAAACTGTCATCCTTATCAGATGTAAAATACAAGAATTAAAGGTGACCCAATTGCTTGACCAGCCATTGGTAGTGATGGAATAACAACTTGACAGAGGTATATATTATATTAAGTACTAAGACCAGAGATATATGCACCTCTCTTTTACATTCAATCTCTCAACACTACCTATCAAAACTTCAATCAGATTTCCTTGAAAAGCTGGGAATAGTCAGATTAGTGTGACAGCCCTTCCCAGCTTCAGAGGGTGAGCTTGTAATTAGTTCAGTGAAATGCACATCTCCTGAGCCTGCTGAGAGCCTAATTTTTTTAATTTGCCAGTTCTTTTGTTTCCACGACTGCCTCTTCACACAGTGTGCTCCAAAACTCTTAAAATAAGCATTGCAGAATGCAATGCAAAGAAATGAAACCAACGGTTTCATTTCCCTAATGTATCACCTTATGACAAGAAACAACATACATCTGAGTAGGAGGAAAGACAGAAGTGTCACATGCTACCTGAACACAACTGGCTTTCCGTATGTTGGTTGAGCAGAGAACAGGCCATATGTTATATTTCCACCCATTTCTCAGAATCCACAGTACAAATAAGCGTATAACAATTCCAGATTCATGCTAGCCAAAGTCAGTGGTGACTTCGCAATAAAGCCATCTGGGCCGTGGATGACTAGGGGAAGGGAAAGAAGGGGATAGAAGCAGAAGAGAGAGGGGGATGAGTTGATAGCCTGAGTAGCTCTAGTATTTGGCTAAGATTTCTGTGGTGGCACCTTCATCACAGCTAAAACATAAAGCAAGACAACAGCAACATACTGCAAGGAATGCCAAGCCCCAAACATTTTTTTTTTCTTTCTCCTCTTGTATAAATAGGTCACTTTTCATTAAATGTAACCTGCCTGTGGGAAATCTCACACAACTGGCAGCAGCAGAGAGGGTCCAGGTCACCAAAGTAAGTGTTTGGACACATTTAATTTCCTTTAATTTAATGGAAATTTCCTTCTGAAGGAAGTTTATTTTCCCTTCAACCTTCTTCTTCATAGTATGGAAGTGGTTTCCCACCGCCAAGGAAAGTCTTTTCTCACACTGTCTCTTCCTAATATCTACTTAGTCTATATTCATGCTTAGCCAGGATTTAGCCAACATTTATTATTAATGCAGTATTTTGCATGAGCAGCTGTGGCATGCGAAATACTTTACTAAGAAATGAAGGACGTTTCAGTCTTTGAAAAGATATGTTGACAGCAGCATGGTGTAGTGCAGCATGTGCCAGAGAGATGCCACCTCCCCATTCACAGCTTGTGGGAGGATGTTCCCGTTCTGGTGCGGGTGTTTTGAAATAGACAGGCAAACTGACAAGTGACTGGGACATATGTTCATATCTGCAGAGACAGTATCTGGTAAAGATTAAAACGATATAATTGGATTAAATAGTAAATGTAGAAAAGTACTTGCTATTAAAACAAAGAGAAGTTATCTGTTCCTCTATCACACAAGATATTTTGTACTATAGAAAGCACAAAACCAATTTTCATTTTAATTTATTTTTACTTAAGATTTACTTTCTCTTTGCTAGATCGCACAATTTCTTTGGGACATCTTTCCCATTGATCATGTCCTTGACATCTGCTAAAAAAACCCCACAACAACACAGAGGTGGATTTAAGAACAATTATGTGTTGGTGGATCTGCTAAAGCTTGGTCAGAACATTTACTGATGTGCAGATGTATGTGTCCTTGCCAGCGAGTCCTGTCTTTCATTACTAACATGTCTGTGCAGCTTCTGAGACTGAGCTGCCTGCTCAGAGTGGGGAGAGTTAGTGACTGCTGAAACCTGATTGTGACTTTGTAGAAACTTGCGTACAAGAAACTGATTTCAGAGCTGGTGGTACTCATGAATAATCCAACAGTAAAGGAGCCAGAGTACTTCTGAAATGTGCACTTTCTTATGCATTGCACTGAAATATGTCTCTTCAAAAGTGCACTTCAGATTTCTGCATCTAGGATAGTCAGTTTAAGATCCTTTTATAGTAACTGGAGAGTGGTAAACAAATCTAGGGCACAATTAATTTCATTTTGATTTAGGTGTCTAAAACAGGTCGGATGAATCATGCCTCCAAAAAGCTTTGCTTTTTTGCCACTGACATTTTAATGTCTAAAAGTTACAGACAGTTAATTCCATCCTGCCTGACATGCAGAAGTGCAAAGTGCTAATTTAATGATCTGAGATATTTTAATGACAAAGGAACCCCACCCACAGTCATCGATTAGTCTGGAACAGAAGGGGTAATACTCTCAATATGAATCTCAAATCAACATATTTTGGAGGCAGCTGACAAACCACACACGACAAAAGTTGCTTCAAAGCATGTGACAAAAAGGGGAAACCCCTTGGCTTCTTACTGAAGACAAGGGAAAAAATATATATATTTAAGGGTAAACTATTACAACTATTATCACAACAAACCACTTCTTGTTCCTCTCTTCCCAACTCACTTGTCATTGAATGTATTGGACGTGCCATTCATTATGTTATACAGAATATGCTTTGGTGTGATTAACAGCACAACAGGGAGACTAGCTGATCACTTCACTCAATGACTCAAGTCCTTTAGAAAGACGTTTTCAAATTGGAAACATCTCTTCACAGCTAGTAACAGACTTGTGAGTGTAATCACCACTGAATGACTTTGTAATGAACTAACGGTTTCTTGTAATTTTTCTGTTTGCTGGTGGTTCCTTTTCTTTGGTGAAGGATGCTGTCAGAAGGTTACCTTTACAGAATTGCCTACCTTTGTGAAGACCTCAACCCTGAGCTATACAGCAAGAGATCAGCTGAAGAAGTGGTGTGTGAAATGAGGTCTATTAGTTATTCTTCCACGGATGAAGGACAAGGAAAGAGCCTCCTTCAGAGATGCAGATCTGCTGGCAAGTGCATTTCCTCAGTCTGCTCTAGAGGTAGCAAGCACAGCAGAAGGCAGAAGGATAATCCCCTACAGCCTACACAGCACCCCACGCCCTCAGGGCAGCCATCTCCAGCTATGCCTGTCTGTGAGGGGCTGACAAGAAAAGACACCTACCTGGTACCTTCTTCCTGCAAAAGCATTTGCAAGAACTACAACGATTTGCATATAGCTGGGGACTACGTGGTGCCAATTAGCTCAGTCGCGACAGATTTTACCTGTGACAGCGGCATAGGACCCTTCTTGGAGTCTTCAGAGATTCCTCCCCCCATGGAGTCTGTGAAGGTCCCTCCCTCCAGTGACACCAACCGCAAGCCAGCCCAAGGCTACTCCTCATGCTGGCGGCTGGCCAGCTTAGTGCCCCACCAGCAGCCCCTCTCCGACTCAGCCCTGAACGACTACCTTGAACAGAAGCTGGTGGAACTGTATAAGCAGTACATCATGGATAGCACAGCAAACAGGGCATCCCCCACTCAGATCCTGGCCTCAGAGCTTATCATGACTAATGTTGATCAAATCAGCATGCAGATATCACGGGAGAGGAATATGGAGACCACCAAGGCCAAAGACATTGTCATTAGCCGCTTCTTACAGATAGCCAGTGAGAAAATATCCTCAGAAATTAGCACACCTAGTCTGCATATTTCCCAATATAGCCACACTAATGCATAGTACTTGAATATCTACCATTAAAAAGATTTTATGTTCTGCAAAGTCAAATTTAGTTTCTTAAGACATTTTTCTGCTTCATAAAAATGCATTTACTCCCTACCACTTAAATTAAACCTTCAAGTACATATTAAATAAGTAAAAATGCCTGTACTGTGCAGCCCCTTTTGTGGACCAGATGATTTATTGGTTTGGGTTTTTTTAAAAAGTTTTTCCCTAAAGGCTTATATTAGTGAGCCTCTGACATTAAAAAAAAAAAAAATGTAGAAAAATGACTAAGAGCATATGACACTCTTCCAGGCACTCAGGTGTTCACTTTTTTCCCCAGTTGCTTGACATATCATTTCAACTTCCCTCTATCTGGAGTCTGCCATCCTACCCCCGGGTGAAGGGAAGACTTACACAAGCACAGTGATGGCAGAGCCACAGAAATACAGAACCAAGGATGTCATCTAGTTCACCTCTCTGTCCCAAACGGCTTTATTTATGACATCACTCACAGAAGTTTTTATAATTTGTTCTTAAACATATTAAGGGGATAGACACTTTGTGGTTTCTTCCATACTAACCCTAATTATTTAATTGATGTCTTCCTGTTCAAAAGTTACCATCCCTTTTTGTGAAGCACAAACTCTGTTTTCAAACAGACTTCATCAGTAGGAGTGTACATGTATACCAGTGTGTCTTGCACTGAACGAACTGTTACAGTGGATGCTGGAGACCTTTGATCACAGACAGACACCACTTTGCCAGCTACTTATAGACCCACAGCTGTGGAGTAGTCATGTGGGGACAGTGATAATAAAGGGGGAAGAGGAACAAGAGGAACACCTTTGTTCAGAGAATTGCACACCGAAAAATAAGGGCTAATCCAAACCCCATTTGATAAATGCAAACAGTTCCTTTGAATGCAGAAGGAAAGGTGAAACAGCTCAGCAGCATGACTAACCACTTTTCTGTTAGGATCATTGCTGTGTATCATAGGTCAAGGTCATTTAAACCTGATGTATTTCTAATATGAAGGTCCTTTTCTGTAAAATTTCACTGAGTCTTAAAAAAGAAGAATTAAAAAAGGAGCTGCTTTGTGGCAAGGATGGTTACCTTCTTTGAGCCTGTATAATGGCTATATTGGGCCACAACAACCCCCAGCAGCGCTACAGGCTTGGGGAGGAGTGGCTGGAGAGCTGCCAGTCAGAGAGGGACCTGGGGGGGTTGATTGACAGCCGGCTGAACAGGAGCCAGCAGTGTGCCCAGGGGGCCAAGAAGGCCAATGGCATCCTGGCTTGTGTCAGCAATAGCGTGGCCAGCAGGGACAGGGAAGGGATCTGACCCCTGTACTCGGCACTGGTGAGGCCGCACCTCGATTCCTGTGTTCAGTTTTGGGCCCCTCACTACAAAAAGGACATTGAATGACTCGAGCGTGTCCAGAGAAGGGCAACGAAGCTGGTGCAGGGTCTGGAGCACAGGTCGTACGGGGAGCGGCTGAGGGAACTGGGGGTGTTTAGTCTGGAGAAGAGGAGGCTGAGGGGAGACCTCATCGCCCTCTACAGCTACCTGAAAGGAGGGTGCAGAGAGCTGGGGATGAGCCTCTTTAACCAAGTAATAAGTGATAGTTCAAGAGGGAATGGCCTCAAGTTGTGCCAGGGAAGGTTTAGACTGGGTATTAGGAAGCATTTCTTTCCAGAAGGGGTTGTTGGGCATTGGAATGGGCTGCCCAGGGAGGTGGTGGAGTCCCCATCCCTGGAGGTGTGTAAGAGTTGGGTCGACATAGCGCTGAGGGATATGGTGTAGTTGGGAACTGTCAGTGTGAGGTTAATGGTTGGACTGGATCATCTTCAATGTTGTCAATGCCAATCTATCTTTGGTTCAGTTTCTAAGTATCAGTATAATATAAATACTAATTTATAATAAATATTCATAAAGTATTTTCATGTTATTGATTCCACAGTGTCATTCTGTCCTTTTTGTTCTTTTTTTAATGAAAGATATGCCTTTATTTATATTTTTTAAAAAAAGTAAGGTAGTAAACATGTCAGTTTATTCTACTGCTGCCGTCTTTCCAGAGATTACTGGGATAGCTCAGTATATTTTCCTGCTTATGCAATGAAGGGGTATCCAAAAAACAGTTGCCATAAGAGCCTTTGATGTGTGAATCCAGAGACTGTACATCTGTTGCCATAGCAGCCTACCCAAATACTATTATTCAGCAATTCAAGATAGATAATTTCTGGTATAAAATATTTCTAGACTGTGATCAAATGCAGTTATGCAGTTTACAAATAGAAAAAAAAAAGCTATTTTTCCAAGAAAATAACATTCATGGTAATGCATTGGCACACATGTGTGTTCTGCATGCAAAATCTATTACCAACAGACATCTCAAATCTCTTGAAACTCTCTCAGAATAAAAGGATGCGCTAGAATCTATGAAAATGGCTTGCAGAGGACATCAAAGAGCAAATTTAGTAGTTTTTATTTCCTACAGATACAGATTCAGGCTTTTCAAACATGGGGGTTTTGTTCATGCCTGTTGACATTCAGATCACTGAACTTTAGAAGAAAAAGATGTAGTAGAAAGCAACTTGAAGAGTTGAATTCATAAATCAATACCCTCCCTGAAAGATCTGGCACCTTCATGAGAAAACATAATCGATTCTTACACTCAGCTCTACCCACTTCACAGACTGCATCCTGTGGAAACAAAACAGCAATTTGTCGTCTGTTACTCAGAAACCCAGATCTTGATTTTCCCTGAGTTGATAGGGCTGTGATGGAGACAGACCCACAGGCAGCACCGGCTCGCCCCGGTGGGAAACAGCAAGGGCAGCTGGAGAACAGGGGCTGACAGTCTGCCCAAACCTATGTGAAAACATCCTTGCCTTTACTGGGCTCACTCCAGAGGTGCCATGTCAGAGGGGTGCAATAAGAACTGGGGGCTCGGCCCTCAGAGGATGGTGCTGTTATAGCAGTGCCCTACAGAGAAGTGGAGAAGACAAACAGATCTTAAAATGCACAAGAGCATGGCTTGTGCATATGGAGGGCATGTTTGATACTTACATTTGATTAATCAGTCAACTACAAATCATTCCATTCTCATGCTGCTTTCTTCCAAGAAAATCACTTAATACAATCATACCTAATTTCAAGTAAAGGTCTTATTTTAGATTGTCAGACTGACATGAATTTTATTAATGGGAGGGTCATAATCGTTGCAGAAACTGATTTATTCCAGAAAGAGAGCATCAACCACTTCTTCCCCACATATGGTTATTTTCTTTTCCCTGACTAAATATAAATTCCCATTTCATTTTGAGCCCTGAGGTGTACGTGCTTCTCACATAAATTACATACCAGCCACATCCCATTATCTGAAGCAGTACAAAGTAGCGCTAGGATTTAAGGCAGTTTCTACATAAACAAACAACTATTTCTTACTTTCCACTGTGCTCAGCCGAAAGTGCATTTATATCTCTGTCCTTCCTCCATTTAAAACTAATCTTCCTCTGCACAGGTGCCTCTCTAGGCGTGGCTGTTTCCTGCTAAAAGCACTTGGATAGCAATTACACTGCTATTACCATGACTCAGGTTGTTATCTAAAGCGATTATCATCTCTCTCCTTCTCCCTCCCTCCCCTTCTCTTCTGCCTCAGGGTCAAATGCTTAAAGAGAGAGATCCCATTTTTTTAGTAGCTCTATTAAATAACTAATTTTTAGCCAGGGGCATATCGTTTCTCGACACGAGCTTATCAAAAATGCTGATGGAGTCCCGGTGGTTGGGGAGAGCATATTGCAGAGTTTGAATTCTGCCCTCACAATATTTCATAATAATATGGCTATTTTTATGTGACTAAGATCACTTAAGAAGGCAAAGAAAATTGTAAGGAGTATTTCAGTAACTGTTTGGTTGTTATTTTGACCAACTGTCAAGAAACTGATCTCAGAAGAATAGTTTATAACCACCTCCAGCATACTTTAGCAGCTTCCTTAGGCATTTTTTACAGGACGTATCACTCATTGCTGATATGATTATAGCAGCTAGGAGTTTTGTTGTTTATATGTAGTGTGACTGTGCCCCCAAGAGTCTGAGCCCATCACTGTGACAGATGAACACTACCTGTGTGCCCCTAGGAAGGCTGGGTGTGCAGTGTGACAAGAAAAATCCTTGACAGGGGGAGAAAAGTGAGGGGAAAAAGATGTCAGATTTGTAGCTCCTGCATTTGGGTTTAACCCCTTTGTTGGCTCTGATTTCTTATCCATACAAAGAAGCAGTGGGGGGAAGAGATATAAAATGCAGGCTAGGCTGTGTGCTGAATATGAAAGCATTATGTGCTCCGATTACTGTGTTCAGACGAAAGTAAAAAGCTAGGCACCTAAAACTGAAATAAATTAAACTCTGCATCACTGACTCCAGCCAGGCATGTTGCTGGGGTTTCACCTCGGGGAAGCTGCTGGCAGGGCCGGAGCAGGCTGGAACCTCCCAGCACCAGTGGGTTTGATGGAGTGCTCCAAGATTCAGCTCATTCCTTTTCTACTGTCTTTTCTTTTGCTGAAGCAACAGGCAGTTATAGAGGACTATCCCTTCCCTGAGCTTCTTTCCATCATGGCTTTCTCCCAGAGATAGGAAGTGCTAAGGATGTAACCAGTTGCCAGTATAAAAGGCTTGGGCAGGAGGGTGGTAAAGGAACTGCAGGTTTTGTTACCACGTTTATCAGAATTGCTGTAAAATATCTTTGTTACTGGTGTGGACAGGGGAGGTATCCTATGTTCTCCCAGATTCAGGAGGAACAATTACCGATTTAGGGAGATCATCACATTATAGTCATGATTTACTACAAATTATAAACCGATATCAAGATATAAAAGTCTCACTGCACTTTTGCTAATTGATGAGCTTAGTGACTCGCCACACATCTAGTCAAATGCAGCCTGTATGCCTACCACAGCTGGTGCGTGTCCCCTTGGTGTCTCTGTATTCACAGAGGCAAGCTGTCTCTGACTGATGCAACCACTAGAGACAGTGCTCAGAAGGGTCAGGAACTACTCCAGCTGCATTAATTGCACACAGTGTGAACACAACAGGTGACTTAAATCAGTGTATTACCAGTATAAATTGGCAGGATCGGCCTGTGGTTGGTGGAGATATGGCAGCTAACAGAGGTTGAGATCTGGAGCTCTGTTGTGCTGGGTAAGACTATTTACAGCTTAGAAATGTATAGCAAAAAATGATTAATGTGTAAAGGAACAGAATTTTAGGTCAAGCCAAAATTATCATGTGCATTACAGCACTGCTTCTGCTGAGTTGGGAAGAGCTGGCTTGCTGTCTCCTCAGCATTAATGCCAGTAGGATTAGAGTGATTTTTTTTGGAATATTAAGCAGGCTTTCTAAAGCTGTGAGGTGGATGAAGCTTTCTATACACAGTGGGGAGAAATCTCACGGTCACTTGCCGTTGTCCTTGTGGGGGGCTTTAACCTCCCAGATATCTGCTGGGAACACAACACAGCAGAGAGGGAACAATCCAGGAGGTTCCTGGAATGTGTGGAGGATAACTTCCTCACACAGCTGGTGAGTGAGATGACCAGGGAAGGTGCCCTCCTGGACCTGATTCTTGTGAACAGGGAAGAGCTTGTGGGGGAGGTAAAGGATAGAGGCTGTCTAGGGTGCAGTGATCATGAGATGATCAAATTTTTGACCCTTTGAGAAACAAAGAGAGGGGTTAGTAAAAATGCCACTTTAGACTTCCAGAGGGCTAACTTTGACCTGTACAAAAGACTGATTAACAAAATCCCTTGGGAATTTGCCTTGAAGGATATGGGAGTCCAGAAAGGCTGGACATACTTCGAGTGAAGTCTTAAAGGCACAGGAGCGGGATGTTCCCATGTGTGAAAAAAACCAAGCAGGTGGGGAAGGAGTCCGGCCTGGCTAAACAGGGACCTTCGGCTGAATCTCAAGAACAAAAGGAAAATCTATTGCCTTTGGAAGAGAGGCCAGGTGTCTCATGAAGACTATAAAGATGTAGTGAAGTTATTCAGGGAGAATATTAGGAGAGCCAAAGCACAGCTAGAGCTCAACCTGGCTACAGCTGTTAAGGATAATGAAAAATCTTTCTATAAATTCATTAACAG